TTGTAGGGGTCCAAGTGTGTGGGTGGTTGAAATCACCATTTTTGACATCTTCTCCGACCACTCAAGACACCGATGAACTTGTCTTAGCGTCCTCTATCAGTTTAGATTCTTCCAAAATCAATTTAAAACTCACAAAACTCAAACCAAAACCTAAAACTTATGAAACCATTAACCACTTCAATCTACAATTTCTACTATCCGATCAACATGGAATTTAGATATATAACTCAATTCCTTCTTCTCAACTTCCCCATCGTTAGGACTTGGAAGTATGCCTGTAAACGAACCGAACGAACACGAACGAATGTATGTTCATGTTCGTTCATTTAATAAATAAACGAACATAAACGAACAAATATTTTTTGTTCATGTTCATTTATTAAGGAATATAACTTGTTCATGTTCGTTCATTTAATAAATAAACGAACATAAATGAACACGAACATAAACGAACACGAACATAAATGAACATGAACATAAACGAACATAAACGTTGGAGACCTTACATTCCATTGTTCTTTCATGAAAAATAGTCGACAATGCAAATCAACCAAATCTACAATGATACCATAGCGTAAGAGCTTATTAACAGTGATGAAATGTTTGAAGATATCAAATATTTCGATCGATCTTTTAAAGATATTAAATTATTCACACGACTTTAATTTAACGCTATAACATTTATCTTAGTGGTACATGATTACATATGAACAATCATTTTCCACTACATTATTCTAATAAATTCGCCGGCTAAAAGTTTTGTGACATCAATGTCAGACTTTAGTGAGGTTTGTTAATAATGGTCCTTTCCGTTGGCAGAGTAGAAATTTTAACAGCATGAAGATTTCGAATGGTATAAATTGGACTACATGGCAATAACATAGATCCAAAATCCCTTCGATGCTACATATCGTAACTGATATTATTGCTAAACCACCATTCAAAATTTTAACGTACCTAAAGTCTACTCCACAACTAAAGGTCAAGAACTATGAAAACAAAAGTTCATTGTCAAAGTGTATTATCTACTTATTAATGGGTTCTTCCTGGAAAACTCATTACTTCCGCTATTACACTCTTTTTCAGAAATTGCATAGAAACCTTTGTTTTGTTTTCTGGAAAATTCTATATATTTTTCTCTTTACTGATGCTCATATACTTTTGATTGTTACCTTTATCTTCCCATCTATTTCTAGAAAGAAGTATAATGTTTTCTTGAGTTTTAGATATGAAGATACCGTAATAACTTTACTTATCAACTATTCAGCCAAATAAAACAGAGAAATAGATGAAAACAAACCTGTCAAACTTCAGATTGCACTATAATATAACTTGTTTTGAAGCTTTCAGCGATCGTCTCCACTCTCCAGTGAACACTAGGGTTTGGGAAAAAAAGGGAGGAAATGAATATAGGTGCGAGGTGCCTCACGGGTTAACATATTGGATTTAATCTCCAAATAAAATTGGGTTAATTATGGACTTGATCATCAGAATATCATATTAATTAATATTTTTAAGATACTTACAAATTGGTCACCAAAATTGATTTAAGAAGATTGGGTTAAACATAAATGAATGAACATAAACGAACATAACCGAACGAACATAAACGAACATAATCGAACGAACATAAACGAACATAACCGAACGTTCACGAACGTAAATAAACGAACGAGACTTATGTTCATTTTCGTTCATTTAATTAAACGAACACAAAATCTTGTTCATGTTTGTTCATTTAATAAATAAACGCACATAAACGAACTTCCCGCCGCACGGTTCATGAACGGTTCGCTGAACGTTTGGAAGAAAATATTCCATCGTCAAGAAATCAAAGAGAATATGAATTAGAGTTCTTTTTTTCCAAAAAAAAATAAAGAAAGTTTTGGGTATGTTCATAATTTTTTATAAAAATGTCTAATCATAACATCATTAAATTTTTTACAAAAATGTTTAATCATAACATCATTAAGTATTTAACTATGGAGTGACCAAAACAAGAGCCAATCAAATATTCAATGAGTAAATTGAAAATTTTGAACTTTAATGACCAAAATAAGAGTGTGAAGAAAGTTAAGTGATGAAATTTGTAATTTATATTTTTCATGTTGCGATAGGTGAAATCTACATCAGCAGTTTAATCGAAATAATTAAGCCAAACCTTTTAAATTCTTTAATTTCTGGACCAAGGATCCTAACTTTCTTCTAGAAGTTCAAAATTCCTGGCAGCAACCAATTCATAGAAATCCTATGTTGTCTATATTTCTCAATATAAAGAGATTGAAGAATTGTTTGAAAAAATTAAACAAGGACTGTTATAGTAACATATCTGCAAGGGTTAAATAGAAGAAAGATGAGCTTGAATATTTCCAACTCTCTACTCTCCAAAGAACAAGCTCAATTGATACTAAATTAAAACTTCATAATGAACTTCATTCTCTTGAAGCAGCTGAGAACTTGTTCTTAAAACAGAAAGCAAAATTTCAATGGCTCAAGGAGGGTGATAAATGTTCTAAATTTTCCACTCAGTCATTGCTTCAAAAAAACAAAAGAGACACTATAAGAGTTCTTGAAAATGAACAGGGCAGTAGACTAGAATCTTTTGATAAAATAGCCTCTGAAATCATTCTCTACTTCCAAAAACAATTGGGCAAGGCTGATCCCAATGTAAAAAACAGTGTTCATCAAACTCTTAAACACCTTCTTCAGCTCAATCTATCTTCGGAAACTACTGCAGAATTAGAAAAAGACATCACTGCAGAGGAAATTAAAGAAGCTTTCTTTAACCAAGGGAATGATAAGGCACCTGGTCCTGATGGATTTACTCATTTATTCTTCAAATTCACCTGGTCATTGGTTGGGGAGGATGTCATTAAAGTTGTTAAATTCTTTTTCAACAATTCCTTTATCCTGCCATCTTTTAACTCTACAATTATTTCATTGGTTCTTAAAATCACTAATCCTAGCAAGGTAAAGGATTATAGACCTATCTCTTGCTGCTCTATCATCTATAAAGCTATTACCAAGATTCTTGTTAAAAGGCTGACCTACCTACTGCCTGAAATCATAACTCTTAATCAATCAGCCTTTGTAAAGGGTAGAAATATAATTGACAATACTCTACTTGCACAAGAACTTGTTAAAGGTTATGGAAGGAAAAATATTTCACCAAGATGTGCTATCAAGATTGATCTTCAGAAAGCTTTTGACTATATTCATTGGGGCTTCATCTCTTCAATTCTCAAGGCCATTAATCTTCCTCCTAAGTTTACTGCTTGGATTGAAACTTGCTTCACTGAAGCCAGATATTCCATCTCTCTTAATGGTTCTTTAGTTGGTTATTTCAAAGGAGAAAGGGGTCTAAGGCAAGGTGATCCTTTATCACCTATCCTGTTTGTTCTAGTTATGAATATCCTTTCAAAAATCCTCAACACTGCTGCTGCCAGAGGTATTTTCGGGTATCATCCAAAATGCAAAAAATTGGTCTCACTCATTTAATATTTGCAGATGATCTTCTTATTTTCTGTAAAGGAAATTTGGAATATGTTATTGGAGTTACCTCTATTCTAAATAAATTTTATGAAATGTCAGGGTTTCAGCTTAATGTAGCCAAATCTGATCTTTTTGTTGATGGTATTTCCCCAAGGAAACTTGAATCTCTCTTTATCTCTTTTGGCTTCAAATATAGTATTCTTCTAGTGAGATACCTTGGGGTTCCTCTTATCACCGGAAAACTAACAGCTAAGGATTGCTCTCCCTTAATTGACAAGATCAGATAAAAAATTCATCAATGGGCTGGGAAGCATCTCAGCTATGCAGGGAGATTATAACTTGTTAAAATTGTCCTCCAAAGTTTTGCTAATTTCTGGTGTAGACAATTTCTTCTCCCTCAAGCTGTATTAATAGGATTAACCAGCTTTGTTCTCGTTTTTTTATGGAAAGGTACTGAAACTGTAGCCACTGGTGCAAGAGTAAGCTGTAGTAACATCTGTTGTCCTAAATCAGAAGGTGGGTTGGGATTAAAAGATTTAAAAACCTGGAATAAGGTGTGCATGATTCAGCTCATTCGTAATCTTATTGCTGGTGAAGGATCTCTATGGATTGCCTGGATTTATAACTATGTGATTAAAACCAAAGACTTTTCCCAGCTGTCAAATAATGTTTCTTATAGCTACTGATTCAATAGGCTTTTGAAATTGAAAACTGAGGCTATCCCAATTCTTAATACAGGAGTATCTAATTCAAAAGGCATTTGGGAAGAGTTACGAACCAAGCATGCAAAGGTTTTTTGGCACAAACTTGTCTGGTTTCCCCTCCATATTCCCAAATTCAGCATCATCACTTGGCTTGCAGTCTTGGATCGGCTTCCTACTAGAGAAAGACTTATTCGTATGGGAATTACCATTGTTGGCTCTTGCATTTTTTGCAATGATGCCCTTGAAACGAGAAATCACTTGTTTGCAGATTGTGCTATGGTTGCTGCTCTTTGGAATAGAATTCTAAATCTTTCTCTCTTGGACAAATCACTTATGCCATGGGATTTCAAACTTGCTTGGGCTTCTTCGACTTGAAAAGGAAAATCTCTCCTTACCATCATCATGAAGATTGCTTGGAGTTCTTTCATTTACTATGTTTGGGAAGAAAGAAATAGACGTTTATTCCAAGGAAGAGTTAGAACCATTGATGATTTGCTTAACTCTATTAAGGAAATTGTTAGTACTCAACTTAGAAATAGAAATATAAATAGACTTGATTTTGTTAATACGCAACTTAGTACCAATTGGGGTATAGGTTAATCATTCTTTTTTTTAAGTAGTTGTCTTTGATCCTTGATTGGGATGTTTTGTACTGTTTTCTTCTTTGGATAATAAAATCTTACTTATCCAAAATAATAATAATAATAATTAAGCCATTGATCAAAAAACTTTGGTCCCATTTTTTATTACCATCCCTCGAAAGTAAATAATAAGGGAGAAAAATGAGTTTCGGTCGAGAATGGGATCTGCATATTTCCATTATTTGTGAGTTATGTCTAATAATAAACATGTATTTAAGTACAAAAGTGTAATTGAAGATTAATAATTTAACCACCATGATTCAGCTCATGTTCTTCTCCAAGGTTCATCCAACAGTTGTAGACATTCATGTGGATTCGAATAAAAATAATCTTCTTCTTTCGGTCTATCTGGCATCACGACCCGTTTCTTTGGGTTTCCCATCCTATTCGAATGAACTTCCTTCACGGTATCGGAGAACTCGTCCAAGCTTAACAATCCATCATGGTACTGATCTATTAACTTGACTAGAAGTTTTCGGTCTAGTAAGATAGTTTTCTTGAACCCCAAGAATCTGGAACGTGTTGAACAGGCAATTGCAGATAAAAATCGGATCGAATTTGAACATGCCTTTGCTATGATATGAGATGAGAAAAGAATGGTAAAGTATAAATATTAGGCTTGATATGTTACCTCCGATGGCCTTCGATCACTTTGGCCATGTTTCCGTCGTATGTCGGAACGAATATATCACTTTCTAAGGCGACTAGATAATCCAATGCTGCCATTTGGGATGAGTGGTTTTGGAAGAATTTCAAGTCCGATCGAAGTAGAGTCTCCTTTCTGACCTGTTGTGCAAGAGAATTCGATTGTTAGGGGATATATATGTGCATTGTAGCTGCAGAAACTACATTTTACTGACCAAATTAGGAAACTCTTTTGCCAACGGAGCCATCCGTCTCTCGCCACCGTAAATTTCTCCGGCAGCAATGTAAATTTGAACATTGCGGTCAATACCGAGTGCTTTTAACACTAGAGCTGTTTCTTCTGGTGTCAAAGGGCACAATCCTTCTTTCCTTTTCATTTCTGAATTTATTATCTTTTCCTTCCACCAGGGATAAGCATACCTAAAAGCACCGGACTCGTCGTAGTTAGATAAGGGATGATAAAATTTATAGTCACGGAGGCGACAAACAAGCTTACGGGTTACCTCATTCTCGTAATTTCTTCCTCTTCCTCGCTGTTGCAGCCATGAGTGCAGCCCAAAAAGGCCAACATGTCCATTTCATATCTGAGATGAAGCACAAGAAAAGGGCCCTTCTCCCTTAAAATCTTGACAAACTTTCTACCCAATTCTTCAATTTGGGAAGTAAATCTCAGCGCATTGAAATTTACACGGCAGCGCAGCTTCTGAATCTCGAGGGGTAGTCCGTTGTTTGCAAGCCGAGTATCGGTTTTATTCAACTGTACAACTTTGTGCTTTAGCACAAGAGGAAGAATCTGCTAGCAATAACTCCAGAAATTAGCTGCAATTCCAAGACACCAAAGCTTATTCCATCTTCAAGCAATAGGTAACTAACCTGACGAGCATAATAAGCGATACTAGACCAACTAATGGGTTGCGTAGAGAAGAACATTCCTTGATCAACCCGTTGCTGAACTCGAGGTGGTAGCTCCTTCAATATCCGGACCTCGTCTCTCAAGGAAGTAATGAAGTGATCAACATCGAAAATGTCCTTGAACTCACTGATATCATGAACACCGATTAGACGACCATCTTGAATTTCAGGGCACAATTCTTATACTTTTTACTTGTTCAAGAACAAAGATTGAATAAATAGCACGTACCTAGGATCATTCCAGAAAGAAGTGTAGACACCCGTTTTTGTCCGGGTCTTTTTTATTATTATTTATATATATTTATTATTTATTATTATTATTATTATTATTATGTTTATTAATTACATATTACAACATTTTGTGCAGGCCATCCACTTAAGCCCAACTACAATCAAAACCCAGACCCGGTCCAACAACCCAGTAGATGACCCGAACCGGCCCACTTGACAACCCAGCTAGGGTTTCATCTCAATGTTCCAGCCGCCTCATTTCTGGCCATTGGATCTGGACCCATCCAACGGTCCAGATCACGCAGAGCTTAGGGTTTGAAACCCTAAAATATCATCAGCTCAGCCGTTTGGCCTTCCAGCTCCAGCCGCCGCTTGACTCTTCAACTTCCCAGCCGAGCCTCACCCCCGACAGCCTCTGACGCCGGCCACCTACCGAACAGTGATAGATGACCATCAAACAGAGATTAGAATCATATCATTCAGTCAGACAATCCAAGAAAAATAATGAAAACTCCTAGAAGCATAGGAAATCATTTCCTATTAGATCTATCAGACACCAAACGCATGCAAAGATAAAAACAGAAGGCAATGGGGATTTGAGGGGGGGGATTTTTTTAGAGAACGGAGACAGAGAGGATTCGAAACCACAAAACAAAAAAAAGAAAAATATAGAGAGAGGTGTCTCACCGTGGTTCAAAGCCGTGGAATCCCGAGGGCCGCCATATGCTCGGTTTCTTTCGAAGGTAACATATTAGATTTAGCGGTTTAGGATTATTTTTAGGCTAAAAGGGTTTGAGTTTTGAAGTGGGGAGGAAGAGAGGAAGCTTTTGAGTGTTTTTCCCTCTCTTCGGCCGAGCGCCGCCGGGTCTCCACCGTGGTTGTTGCCGTCCAGGATTATCCCTTTCGTCCCCGATGAGGGAACTTGAGAGAGTCCTCTGGTTTTGGAGACATGAAACAAATGAGAAGGCTGATGAAAAATAAGCCTTGGATTTGGGTATGAATACCCAAGTCAAAACGCAGTCGTTTTGCCTCCCCAACCCCATCTGTGTTTTTGATTTATTGGAATAACTACACTTTTAATCCCTGTGGCTTTGTAAACTTACGCATGTTTCTTCAAGGTTTGGGGGGTAAATCATAGTTTAGGTCCCTCCTGGTTTGTAACATCTCGTTGTAGCCATTAATGAAATCTCATAATATTTATTTTGGGCATTTATATTTCCTTTTTATATTTTAGTCCTATTTATATTAGTATTTTGTATGTTTAAATATTTAGATTTTAGCTGTTAATCTTGTGTATTATTCATTTTGGTCATCATATTATGTTTCTATTTGTTTCATTTTTGATATAATATTTGCTCACATTTCGTTTTAATCACTATTTGTTCACTAATATGTTTAGGGTAAATAATTTGTTTTGAGCCCTGATTTGTGAATGAGCTCATCCTAGTCCCTATTTGGTTATTGATGTCTTTGATGATTTTTGATTTCGTAAGGTAGTTTTGTTAACTTTCTTTTTAGTCCCTAGTTGTTGGCATATTGCTTTTATTTTATTTTTATTTTAATTTGACCACTAATTTATGATACTTTCATTTTGGTCACTAGATTTATGGTTAATCACGATTTAGATACCTATCTTTACCATGTTGTTCATTATAGTCACCAGGAGGTTCATGTTATTTGTTTATTCTGATATTGACATTCTGTTTATTGTGTTTCAATTTGGTCACTATGTATACTATTTTGCTTATTATGAATTCAACTACTGATTTTATTCTTTTTCATTTTAGCCACTGATTGATCATGTTTTTTATTTATTTTTAATTCTGCTTGTATATTTCGATTTATGCATTTTAGTTACTTGTCTATAAAGTTTATTTATTTATGTTATTTGTATGTCATATTTTCATGTATATATTTTAACCTATGCTATAATATTTATGTACATATCATGTTTCAAATATATTAATTTATTTTATTTTATTTCATACGCATGTTGTATCATATACATTTATATACTTATTAATTTAATTTAATTTTTCCCTTTGTATATTCATGTATGAAAATATATTATTAATGTTTATTCCATTTTATTCAATGTGATTACATATGACTAATTTTTCAAGAACGCGAATTTGTAGAACGGGCGTGGAAAGTACTACTTGATCGAAGTGGTACAATCCAATACGACATTCGAACAAATACGAACTTAAAATAAATCCATTTTCTTTTACTAATTAATTTATTTTAATGATGTTATGTGTGTTTTTAATTTACTCTTTATTTCCTTTTATTCGAATGCAAATGTTAATTTATTTATATTCGATTCGCATATTTATCAATGAGAGAATATTTTTTTATTGACAAGAAATAGTCGAGTTAGTTTTTCCGATGGAGGATTACTAATTTTGATATTTCTTTTCGAGTTAAAGAATTTTCTGTAAATAATTTATTCGAAGTAAATTAATTAAATTTCAATAAATGGATCACATTTTAATTATCGATGCGATTTATAGTTTCCACCATCACGACGATATGTAAGCGACACAGTACCAATTTTTGGGCGTTGTGGGGTGTTAGTCCTTCCCTACACGTAATAGACTCCCGAACCTGTTTAAATAAATCTTTGGTAAACACAGACCAGTTTTTATCTTAAAAACGATTTTTTCTTAAAGTTGTTTTTAAAATACGTTTTTAGGTATTCGACCTATCTAACCCAAAGGTCGATGGCGACTCCCTTTCGATTTAATTCAAATTAATTCCAAATCACCAATTTTTCCAAATTAAAGTCATAATCGTTTTTTAAAATAATATTTAATTGTTTTTTTGAAAAATGGTTATGACAGCTTGGCGACTCCGCTGGGGACTTTTTTTGAGAGTCAGGCTGTATGTCGTTTACATATTGTCATCTTGGTGGAAATTATGATTTCTAGTTTTTAGTTAATTTATGATCCATTTATTGAAGTTTTAATTGCTTCATTTTTAATTATCATACTAACACTTTATCTTTTTGCTTTCAGGCTGTCCAAATTTTTGTCGAGTTTTTTTTTCTTTTCATTTTGAGTCAAAGGTAGGTATGTTACTCCTCACACACATCACTCGCATTGGCATAACATAAGCTCTAGACACGAGCTTCGATCCAAATTAGTTGGGGTGAATGCTTTACTCTCGTAAGAATTTATTCTTCGTATGAGTTTTAGCAAATAACCCATGGGATACATACCTTATACCTTCGTAGGGATTTATTCCTCGTATGGGTATAAGGCAGTGAATCCCCTCGAATTGAACTCGTCCCGTTTGAAACCTGTAATGGGTGAGGATCGAGGGTTTGGCAGCCCAAGGGGGCACCGACATCAAGGACAATTCGAGTTCTCTTTTCCTGTTAGAGCCAAAACCATGCATATAGTAAACCGTAGAACAATCACCCTAGGTATAAATATACCGAACCTCTTTCCGTCAGTAGGTACCCAAATTAGGTGTACACAAAGGAGGAGCGCTTCTGAACCTTTCATTTTGTTTTAAATTTTCCTGTTGAATAAAAGCATGCGAACTAGATACCATGCGGTTAGGACCAATTTCTTTAAAATAGATCATTGTGGGTAGAAAGCATGTCCGGGTAGGATTGCTATCTATTGAAAGCATGTTCGAGTAGATATCATGATAGGGTAGGTGTTATATTCATCTCTGAATAATATTTTTATTTGTATCAATTATTTTACATATACTAACTCGTTTTTATCTTTTGTTTTTGCACACTAACTTATTTATTTTGTTCGTGTCATTTTTCATCATTTGTGCATTGCATTGCATCATCATAATGCAAAAGTGTTGATCCGTAAGGGGATATTCGAGAGAAAATTTTCACAAGAAGAGGTGAAAATTTTCAATCAAGAAGTCGCATACACAGACATGCACCGAAGGCTAAAAAAGTTCAGAATACAAGAATGAGACTTGTTCGAAGATCGTGCAACATTCGAGATTAGAGAGATGATCCATTGAGCCAAAGAGTAATCCAACAGTAGATTCTCATCTACAATCATTTCATCGCTATCCATCAAGGAGCGACGCACTGACTTCAGCACTGTTGGGGGCATTAATGGTTTCAGATTACAGAACGCTTGAGGGGCATCATTTTCAAGGACGAAGATCCGAGACGAAGCATTGATCTACTTCAGACTCAACCATCTAAGCGAAGTCAAGTCTGTAAAGTGGACTGTCTTGTAATGTGAAAACTTTTATCTCTGGTGAAAATTGTTCTAAAATATTCATCGTTGGGATTAATATTTTTGCATCTGCATTTTCATCATTTCATTTTATTCAACATTCATTTAAGCATTGTTACGTGCATTAATCATACCTTGTGGGAAACTTTGAGGAAGCGCTTCTAACTGTACAACTGCATTCACACAGTATTGAAAATGGATGCAAAATTTGAGGAATTGAAGAAAGAGCTGAACGAGAGTTTGCAAAAGTTGCAAGCAGAGTGGGAGGTTAAAATGGAGCAGATGCAAAAGACCACCGTGGATCGTATCTTGCAAAACCAAAAAGACCTAGTTAACCAAATGGTAGCAAAGATGGCTGAGCTCAACCAAGAAAAAGGCAAAGAAAAGATTTCATTGACCCGTGAAACAGTTAAATGTGTGAAAGCACAGGCTAGTTCGCAACCAATTATCTCGCCCAACAGGATTCCTAGTCACCTAGCGACGAGAAGAGCCAAGAACGAGATCCCAGATAATTTGAAAAAGTGGTGCAGAGAGACATTCCATGGAATGAGAGGACAAAACTCTCACAACGGGATGGATGCAACAGAACTAGTACTAGTTCCTAACCTGGTGCTTCCGCCCAAATTCAAGATGCCCGAGTTTGAAAAGTATAGTGGAACCAGTTGCCTTAATTCACATCTCACGATGTTTATCCAAAGGATGACTGGATACACCAACAATGATCCGATGTTGATCCACTGTTTCCAAGATAGTTTGATTGGACCCGCTTCTAGGGGGTATAATCAACTGAG